AATGTCTATGCCACAATGGCTTTGTCTTCCATCTCCTTCACTTGCTTCTAAGATATTGTTGGACTGAAAGAAGAGAAAGTGGAGTTAAGCTTGTGCTGAAGGCGAAGGAGTGTTGGTAATCTCTTTGCCTCCTCTTTTCTTAGCATACACCCACCTAATGAATAAAGCTGAATTAAAGCAACTGTTACTGCACTGCACTGGAGAATTACACAGAGCAGCCACAAGTTCAGGTAATTAGGAGCCGTTTGCCAACACCGAGGAAAGGAGTGTTACACTCCCTACACCACTGTGACTGCAAGGAAATAATGGAACAAGTGGCTTTTGTCACAAAACCATTCTCACTCATCCAGAAATTGCCAAGGCAGCATAGCTCTCATGAAGAGTTGGAATGCACACACACAACACACACACTCTGTTCCGTGCTGGGGCAGTGCTCAAAAGAGCCACAGCATCACATGGTTTCTCAAATCTGTAATGAACCTCTCACAACACAGCACATGGGCATTCTGAACACTGAGGGTACTTGTACAAACTGGGAAAAATCAGGAGCCTGAGGGAACCCTCACTGTCACAGCACCACTGGCACTGGGCAGTGCCAGCCAGGGATGTCTCCTGCTCACCCTGAGGACCATGATTAATGTGCAGTACTCAGGCAGATGAATTCAGATGTGACCAGCAACTTCTGCCAGCCAGATGAAGCTGCTAAGTTCAGTTAGGAACTTTCATGCCTTCCAGCTGCATCCAGCATGCATCCTGGAAAACACCAGATCACACACTTTCATACCTACACTGCACTCCTTTCATTCAAGGAAACCTGTGGAGGGCCTGATGTGGCATTCCTAGGACCAGCTCCAGCCCCAGATCAGCTGTAGAATTGAGATGGATTTATTTCTTACTACTTTTGAGCTCCAGAAAGTTCTTTCTTATAGGAGTTTCCTGCTGGTTAATAATCAACTGAAAATATCAGGCCTCAGCTGCAGTAATAAATACTGAGATAGCCACAATACCTGTAGACCTTTTCCTTTCTGAGTCTTCCTTAGAGCTATAAATCTGGAATTTACACAGTTTATTTAGTACTGGATAAGCTTAAATACAGAGGTTTATTTAAATGTCTATCTATTTACCATGCTTTTCACATTTGAACATCTTAACTCTGATAACGTGACAGGGTTTTTTTGTTGTGGTTTATTGTTTGGTGCCTGTGTCTGTGTTGTTTTCTTTGTTTTGTGGTTTGATTTTTTTTTTTTTTAGGGGTGTTAATTCCAGTCTCTGCTTTTAGGAACAGACTGAGATCACCAGAACAGTTTTCACTGTGTACCTGGTGAGTTAATAACAGATGGTACAATTACAGTGACAAGCATCATACCACAAAAGACCTAGAGAAAGAAGAGTAAACAGCTCTGCAAAAAGAACCCACCTCTCCCTCTGGTGTCACTGAAGGCAGCAGCTTCTCATGTGACTGATAAAAGCCTGACACAAGTGAGCTGTTCCAAATATCACAAGGATGACAGAAAGCCACTCAGACAAGAGACAGATTAGTTTTCAACCAAATGCTTTGAAAATCAACTACGACAAAACCGAAGAGAACTAGAACATACCTTTGGAGGTCTCTAGAGGGGCTCTGTTGAGTACTCCTACCCCTGCAGTAGCAGAACAGACCCTAAGCAAATGTCAGGAGCCTTCAAAGCATTTGCATCAGGAAACAACAAAATTATTTTGAGGGACTTCCTGGAGAGTGAAAACCTCAGAAAAATCAGCTCATGAAAAATACGTTATTAGGTGCTGCAATATTCTCTCTTTATCAGCTCTGCACAGATTCCCATCCTACACTGAGTAATTAATTTAAGCATCCAGAATATCTGAAAGGGATCAGGGAAAAAACCAACTGCAAACAATCCTCCATACACACAAACAGAGTTTAAGATGTTATCCACAACCTTACCTAATGCCAGGTGTGCTGGAAGGACACTAGCATTAATACAGGCCTTAAATGATAAGATTTGAGCCAATTTCCACAGTATTTTCAGCAATCTTTACACAAGCAAAACCTACATTTAGTTCAGAATTTGAGTAACTGCCACAAAGCTTTTACTTAAAAGAAAATTACAGACAAGAAACATTCTATTGAGGTGTGAGCAGTGTAGGAAGAGAGAGAAACTCTGGGTTGTTTTGGTTTTTTTTAAACTGCCCTGTACAAAATTGGATTAAATTACTAGATCTGCACCAGTGAGAGAGAAGAAATAGAGAAGAGTTATTTCCACTGGAGCACCAAAGCATGGTGAGGTGCACAGATGGAAATGATAGGTTTCTCTGGCTTGGCTATTGTGATTTGAGAGTGCCAAGAGAAGAATAAATGTATTGTCATTTATACAAGTGAGAAGACAGAGAAGCATTAGCACATACAGCAAACAGCTACCTACAGAACTGCAGTTTCACAGGGCCAAAAATGTATCTCCTGCCACTAAATATACTGTAATAATTTGAAACCAATGGTTATGTTCTTTTTTATAAAATTTCCATTAATTACTTCACAATAATACACTGTCTTTAGTAATGATATCCAAGGACAAGCAAGGTGGTCTATATTTTGTTCCATTTCAAGGATCATTTCATTTGCTGAAACAGGTATTTATTGTCCAATTTAGGGTGCTGAAGTATGTGCATTTCAAAGCAAAACCCGTTTTGGGACCTACCAAGTATTAACAGCAGTCAGTATTGAGAAGTGTGAATTACTTTCCATTCTCAATACTCTAATAATTTATCTTAATCACGGGGAAGCACGGAGTTTAACATTGTATAGACACACAGAGACACTTTTAAATCCTAACTTTTTTTGAAGAAATTCCCTGTGATTTTATGTTAATCTGATCAAGGGAAAGCATGTGAGAAGCAGAGAATCACCTTGGATTTAGCAGGTTTAGGAGCAAGACTATCAGTTGAGTAAAACCTCAATTACAGACTGATTTGATGTATGCTCAATTACATTATTGCAATTCAATAAACATCTCATCAGAATTAAACAATTGCAATTTGTTTTCTTTTCAGCCATGCATTACAAATTTGCTATTTTTCATTCTAAAATTAGTCAGGCTGGTTGGACACAGCCATCCAAACAGTCCCAGTGTGTCACAGGACAGCATCAAACTAACCTTAAAAAAGCCACTTGGCCTTACCTGCTCTCTAACCAGGAACAAGCAG